TAACGTAGGGGCCTAAATGATTACCAATACTATTTTGGGGGGGGTTCCTTCTTATACTTAGGGTATAATGCGCCCCAAGACCCTATACTAACTATTCAGGCCCCTATACTACAATAATTCCGCAACCCTTGAACTGTCCATTGAACTAAACCCTAAACTTTACCCTAAACCCTAAACCCTAAACCCTAAACCCTCAACCCTAAACCCTCAACCCTAAACCCTCAACCCTAAACCCTCAACCCTCAACCCTAAACCCCAAAACCTCAACCCTAAACCCTCAACCCTAAACCCCAAACCCTAAACCTACAGCAGCTTCGAGCCTGTCCCTGGCCACGGCTGCCGCGAAGGCTTCCAGGCGCTCCCCAGACCTTGGCGGATTTTTCTTGGGCGTGCTTTTTTTGGGAGCTTCCGAAAAGGAGGGGTACCTTGATTTGGGGCCCTTATAATCAGGATCCTGCTATTTGGGGTAGTATAGTAGGGTCCTCTATTTTCGGAAAGCCCCACTGGGTCATCGACATCTCGTCCTCCCGGCCAACCGATGCCATTATGCCCAAAGCAACTTCTGTTGATTCTGATCTGGAAGCTGCGGCTGCTCGTTTGGAGTACGTGTCCCGTGGTCACCGTGTCCTGCTTTCTTCTAGCTACCGGCGCAGAAGATACTAATGAGCTGCTTCCTTCAGCCACCGCGAGAACTGCAACGACCACGAGCAACTGACAAGCAAACAGCAGAGTGAAGTCTTGAGGGCCCGGCGCCACCGCACCGCTGGCGGTGTTGCCTGCCTCTCGCCTCTGAGCTATAGCGGAAGCTTGGGCATCGAGAAATTTGCGGAGTTCGGGCAGTGTAGCGATTCACCCGGCAGAAGTCCTGGCAATGGGCAGACGAAAGCTTCGCAGACGCTTCAGCGCGCGGTTTGGGGGTGCCACATCGCAAATGGCAAAGCGCGATGCCCCACGGGCTTCAGATTTCATCGTCCCCGCGAGTATTTTGAGTGTGGCTGCTGGTGTCAGATCACAGCTGTTGATTTGCATCTCCGGGATTGTCATTTCGGGGTGTCAGTGGCAGGTTTCTCGGATTTGTGGGAGGCATGCTGTCGCATCCTTGAATGCCTGGCTTCAGTGCCTGTAAATACCTCAGCGTTCCCTGAACATCTGCAGATAACAAGTTACCACTGAACCGAAAGCTCTACGCAGGTTCACCCTTGATCTTAGCAACCATGCCTCCCGTCTACGCAACATAGCCGAACGTGCTTGATTGTAAAGTCCAAATTGCCTCGCAGAAAAGTAAGGACTGTAGGAATCCCAGGGACCTTGCCAGGAGCCTCGCAGATTAAATCTCTACATCTTAACATATCCTGAGCACAAAACCTCAAACCTGCACTCTCAATCCCAAACCGTATCTGGATCCCCGTTGGAGCTGTACTTTAAAATCATTTGTTTTGTAATCCTCATTGGGTTTATTGTAAAAACATGTAAACTTGTAGCCAACAAGGACCCGAAAACCGTATCCTTGAGCTAAGATATGCCAAGCGACGCAAAGTGCCGCCCCGGGCTGAGCAGCCGCACAGGCGCTGTAACCCCGGTCCTTCGTTGGGGAGCCACAGGGTCTGCTTTGCAGTTAGTATGTATACATACATACACACATATATATATATATATATACATATATATATATATATATGCATATATATATATATATGTATATATAATGTATATACACATACACATACATACATAAATACCTATAAATGCACGAGAAAGAAAGCAAGCAAGCGAGCAAGCAATAGAGAGAAAGACAGGAATAAATGAGATAATAAATGAATAAAGACCGAAAGAAGGACACCAATGGAGGTATCTGTATCTATGAACCTATACCTTTCATATTCATATGCTATATCTACATCTTTGTCTCTATCTCTACCTGTACCTCTATATCTGTATCTACGTCTATATGACATCTACATCTACCCCTATACCTACATGTATATCTACTATCTGTAGCTCATGATGATGCTGGCGGTGGTGATGGTGATAGTGATGGTCATGGTCATGATCATGATCACCATCATGGTAGCAATAACACCGACAATGATAACAACACCAACAATACTAGTAGTAACCATCAGAACAACGGCAATAATCATAGCAACAATAGCAACACAAACAGAACAGTGGCCAACCCTTTGGAATTCACAGACCCTCATGGCTATCCACAGGCACATGCTCGGCTGTCGGTATCTCTTATTTAACCTGCAGAGGTGTGCAGTGAAACCTTTTGCCAAACTCGACCAAGGATCTCAGAGCCTATTGCCCTGCGGCAGACGCAGAGCCGCCGCACCCGCGATGCCTGGGCGTCACCTCGAGGGGCACTTGGAGGTTCATGGGTAGTTATAAGTGGGGTTTATAAGTAGGGTAACTGTACTTATAACCCATATTAGGGGACTTATAACCCTACTTATAAGGGGGTTTCTGAAAATAGGGGACCCTGGTATAGTACCCTAAATAATAGGATCCTTATTATAAGGACCCCCAAAATAAGGTACCCCAATTTTTGGAAACTCCCATAACTGCCCATGAACCTCCAAGAAGGGGCACAAGGTGAGACTTCCGGGCTCTGAGGGTACGGTAGCTGCAGGGGCATCCTCCCAACCCTACCACTGCCCAAAGCCCAACAACCCCAAAAACCGGGGGCCCAAAATCTCCGATTAGGGTTTAGGGTTTAGGGTTTAGGGTTTAGGGTTTAGGGTTTAGGGTTTAGGGTTTAGGTACATCGGAGCCAGAATCCGGCATCAGACTCCAAGAAACGGGCAGTCAGCTGCCGGCAGCTTTGCACCTGCGCTCAGCCACGCATGACAGCAGAGAAAGGGCATCGGGGTGTGTGTAGAAGTTTTTCTGATAGCCCAGACTAGGGAGGTTGAGACTAGTATAGAGGCTGCACTACCGAGTCTGGCTGCAGTTTCGGCGTTCGAAGCTTTGTTCGCTCTGCACAAGTAAACTGATTCCCTGAACAGCAAAACCCTGAAGCCGAGGGCTTCGGACATTTTTCCGCAGAAGCACCGACCTCCCGAATTGTAAGTTTTCGGTCCACTAAATATTTAGGGTTTAGGGGTTTAGGGTTTAGGGTTTGGGGAATATGCTGCCAAGACAGACAGGCCTAGCTAGGGCTTGGGGTTAGCGGGGTTCCGGGTGCGGGAGTGAAAACACCAAAAAGTTGCCATCCCCTTCCAACATATGAACTGTAGCCTCGAACCCAAGCTGAGTTCAAGCTTCAATCAAACCAGAACCACACCCTCAATAAAAACTCTCTACTCTTCTACAACTAAGAAATAATGACCTAAAGACCTCCTAAACCCAAGCCCAAGTCGCTGAGTGGAACTTCTGAAAAAGCGTGGGTGCGGCCACCCATTCCGAGCCCGAAACCCAAGGCGCTTGCCTGGCGCTGGCATCTGAGCCCCACAGCGGCCTTCGCAAAAACAGCACATGGGCATATTCCGTTTTAAGGGTGGCAGGCGCCCACAAGAGCGCAAAGCAACAAAACACTAAATCTTGAAAGTCATAGCTTCTTTCAATGCTTTATAATGACGTGCTATGACCCGCTCGTCGTGCCTATAAGGTTGATTCTTTGTTGGTGTTCTCCTTGTTGTGCGGAGTGGGACGGCTAGAGGTTACGGTTTGGCCGCTGATCGGACTCTTGCTGTTGTTTAGTGTCACCGTGGCCATGTTAGGATCATCCTGCTATGACTATCAGTGCTTATGGTTCTCACTCGCACTCTTGCAGCTGTGAGCAGTTGTGGATGAACAACACTGCTCCATGGCTAGTAGCTCTGTCGCCTGCAGGGCCTCAGCACCTTTCATACGGCTTTGGGTATATACTTTGATGGACTATACCGGACAAGGTCAAGTCTATTTCGGCTCACATACCACGAACGAAGGCGGCGCAAGCAGCTGAGTTGGCATAAGGTAGTATAGGTAGGTAGCAAAGTATCTTAACAGATGCGAAACGACCCGAAGACAGCAATCCCCGTCGGATCTCGGGGACGCAGCCGGTATCCCGATTTTGGCCAGGGAAGGCAGCTGTGGCAGCCTGGTGACACTAGGGTTGCAGAAGTCAGGATTCGTTGTGTAGACAGGCTTAGGCTTTGGGTCGAGGGTTTAGAGTTAGAGTTTTGGATGTAAGTTCTAGGGCCATTCTAGGGCTGTAGGCTCCAGGGATTTTAGGTTTTGGGCTCAGGTTTTCCGACTTTAGGATGAAAGCTTCAAGGTCTTGGGCTTCTGCTTGCGCAGCCTTGGGATTCACCTGCTGAGGTCGAAGAGCGGAATAGAGCAACCAATGACTGCTCGAGACCCCAAACCCTGAACCTCGCTCGCCTCTGTGTCACAGATGGAGCAGGCAAAGGAGAATGTCAGGGGAGGCGCCTCCGGTCACACAGGTAAACTGTTGTTACTACTCTCGTCCTGCACGCCAATGGTCTTGCAAAGTCTATTTACTTCTGTCGTGATCCTCATGTTTGCTGCCGGGAGTATGCTTGCAATTGTGCATCTCTTTGAACTTAGGGCCGACTGGGCTGCCGGCGCAATGCGCGACTGCCTGAGTAAGCGCTGGGGGACTCGGGCAGTTCCTGGCTGAAGAATGATTCGCTTACCCTTACCCTCAAAGGACTAATATTTTAGGGCTTTTGGGCCGAAATACCCCATTATACAAGGCTTTTGGGCTATCTTGATGCTAAGGGTTAAGCTTGTGCGGCATAGTCATAGACATATGGGTCCGGGGGACGTTGGGGACATGAAGCTGCTGATCCACAACCCATATTGCCGTGCCCAGGCTTCTCAGAGAAGATAAGCAGCACCGTAGATGAGACATATGCTTTGATGACAGTCTCAAGAACTCTTCGTGCGAGGTTGTCATGGAGCCTTCAGAAGACCAGTCTTACTAATACGATGGAGAGAAACCCTACATGATCATCGCAGCAACCAGTCCAAACTTGAATCGGGGGCCAGGTTGAACGATCGAACTGGCACACAAGCATTTCTGAAAGAATCAGATTCCGGCGGCAATGTCTGCGTCCACGCAGACCTGTCCTCGGCCGACAGTCAGGACATGCTGCCATGGAAGACCCTCGTTCCCAGGCCATCAAGCACTGCGAATCTGGAAATCTGCCATGTAATGAATATCCTGCCATGTCCATCAAAGGCCTGGGAAAGAAACTGCGTTCTTGAGGCTACAAACACCTACAAACCCTTTCGGGCCTTGGTTCTCGCAGTGCCGCGCGCAGCTTTCACCTGATTGGCAAGGATGGTGTCTGAGGGTTCAGCGCAGATATGTTGGGTGCTATCTTCTTCTCACTCTGCTTCGTTTTGGCGAGTGGTGCACACGGGCACACGATGCAGTGCGAAATCAGACGGCCCTGTGCAAGTTGCAAGGTAGGCAACCCTGCTTGCCTAAGGGCCCGGGTCCAACAACGGCCTCAGCAGGACCAGCGGGCTTGGTTAGGCTGGAGGCTTGCATTGCCATAGATCTCAGTTAGGTTGTTGAGTTCACGTCGAGTTTGAGGCGTTAGGTTGATTGCAAGTTAGTACATGCGGAGTCGACAGATGCAGCACGAAGCGTTGGAGTCCACATTCTAGTCGTGGCGCTGAGGCAACCCTTTTGACATAACATGCCGAAGTATGGTCTTGTCAATGTAGCAACACTTTGCCAAAGTGTTCAAGAACCATAACGGCATTTTACTACGGAAACTTCGCCCTATGACCCCGTGAGTCAACATCCGCCCATGCCCAAGCAACAATGAAATTCAACTCCTTCACTCCATGAGACTTGGCCGTATAGAGTACCGAGTACTGGCTACGCCAGAATAGCTGAATAGTGAGTCCAAGGACCCAGAAACCATACACTCCCCCAAATACGGACATACCTTGAAGTTGCTACTGCGCCTCCGTTCCTCCACTAAATCCTCCAGCCTTACCCCCAGAATCCCCAATCCTCTAATATGGATTACGAGCTAGATATTCGATAATGTAGGTACCCTGCTATAAGAGAAAGAGCTACTTGCGAGCACTCCCAGAGCCAGCAAACACCAACGCCTAAGCCCCTAAACCCTAAACCCTAAACCCCTAAACGCCTAAACCCCTAAACCCCACACCCTAAACCCTAAACCCTAAGCCCCTAAACCCTAAACCCCTAAACCCTAAACCCCTTTCTTATGAAAGGCCAGCCAGCCCAGGCCGTCTGATCAGTAAACCTTGATCGGTGGAACTGAAGTAGCTAACACATGTGATGCCGCTGGCATGATCATCCTGTAACCCGCAGCATTACGGCTCTGTCTACGCTTGTCTTCTTACAGGTGGTCGTCTGATTACTCAGGTCGAAGCATCCACATTATGTTCTTGTGACACATCATTCTACTAATTTTGATACCGCATTCAACTCAAAGCTGAGGAGCGGACTCCTGGTGGTATCGGGCGGTGCGCCGGCAGTGTCAGATCCGCGGCGTGGGTAAGGAAATGTTGCGCAGTCCTTATATAGCAGGCAAAACACGCAACACTATCCGAAACACTGTTCAACAAGACAAGGTCAGGAGGGAGCAGGTGCCTTTGTAAGGTTCGCTGAGGGAGTATGAACACATGTTACTGAAGGCCACGACCAGCGGATCGTGAACCTTCTCGTGAGTTCAATGGAGGTTTGTGGTAACCTTTTGCTGGAAGCTCTCTATGGCAATGCGGCCCGCAAGATTCGGTGCATGTTGTACATATATATATATATATGTATATATACAAATATATATGTATATATATATATACATATACATATATATATATATATGTGCATATACATATACATACATATATATATATATATATATGGTCGCCCCCCGCCCGTTGACAGACCATGCCCTCTCAACTGTG